GGATCCCACCCCCCTTTGCGGGGGGGGGGCCCCTTTTTTTGGGGCTCCCCAAAATCCCCCCGGGCCTTTCCCTTTTGTTATTTGAAACCCCGGGCCCGGGGAAACCCCGGGGTCCCCCCCCCCGGTTTTTTGGGGGGGGGGGGGGAAGGTTTAAAAAAAACCCCCCCCCCGGCTTGGGGGCCCCCCCCCCCCCCCCCCCCCCCCCCTCTTGTTCGTGGCCGTGGCTTCCGACACTTTTGTGGATTGGATGCCTTCGTAAGCCGCAACCAGTGAACGAAGAGTTTCCGTGTCCTGGTGTGTGATTCCCCTGCCTTCTGACTGTAGCCCTTACGTTTCCAATGCGTACGGCGTCCTCAAGCGTTTACTGCGGTCTACCCGGTTGTGTATCCCGATGGAATCGACTTGAAGTACCTCCACTAAACGGTTGAGTCATTAAGGAAAGCCGCTAGCGGTTGGTTCCTCAAACCTTCGCTCGGGCGGAGTGTTGTCCCTCCCCATCTCGAGAACATATCGATGAGTACTTTCTTGGACCCACCGTCGCGACTGTAGATTTCTTTCGGGAAGGGTTGGATGGCCGTTCCGACTTTGTCACTACTGTGGTTGCTGTGTCAGACGCTGGCTACTGTGTTTCGCCCTGACACAGTGCGTCTGGCATCGTGTTCCGGCCGTGGAAAGGGGAACTACTTTTCAAGCATGTCCAGATGTCCAGGGCAAACGCTTGTCTGTCTATATCAAATGCCACGGCGTACCTGCCCGGCAATTCCGGCTGAGTGCTGGGACCCGTTTGTATGGCCGCCGCCGTTATGTCACGCTCGCTATGTATTTCGTGTGTGTTGAAGCGCATGCGAAGTGCGAAATGCGATCGAGTGCATATATCCTTTTCTTGTAAAAAGACTTCCCCATTTCAAGCCGCCATGGGGCGCCTACGTTTCGGTAACATCAACTCGTGCGAAAAAGGAATCTGAGAGCCCCGAAAACTGTCATGTCGTCCGGAGAGTTGTCACTGCTGTTTGTCTGTGCATGGTTGGCAGAATTCGATAGCGGAACCAACCGAAGTACCGCATCCGGGCTAAGCTGTTCTACAAACGAGCCTAGGTGGAGGCGAGTTTTGACCCCATGTACTCTCGCTCTTCGTCGCCCAAACCCCGCTTTTCCCTCCTTCTCGTGTCAGGTATCAGCACGAAGACTACGCTACCCCGACAAAAGATGCTATCCGGTCATCTCCGAGCCAGTTCGGCACGTTCTGCTACATCACAAACACCTTCATTAAGGCCGGCTCGCCGGAGGAAGTGAACATCAGGTGCGGAGAGGAGAAAACAGGGAACGGTGAACATGACTCAAACACACGGCGGTGGTCGATGTTCATATTCGTACAAATCCAGCTGGTAACACGTGATGCTGGCGTGGTGGCGACGAATATCCTCAAAACCATCTCGGAAACGGCGGTGTTATCACAAGACGCTTTTAGGGCTCCAAGGAATCGCTGGGTGCAGATTAAGCCTGTGCTTTCATGCGGTCTAGTGCTCGGTGATGGGTTGGATGACCTTTTCGGTTTGTTGTATCCAACTATCTTTCGCACTACGGGCGTGTGTCTTCCGCAGTACCAGCGTGAACATGCCACGTTTCAAGAGCCCATTTCAACGTCAGGCCACAAGCCTCGTACAAGTTTGAGATGAGCACCACTGTTTTTTCAGGCTGTTTATGAAGTACGCCATCAGTTCCTGTCAACCCGAACGGTGTTGCAGGATTCAGGTGGTTAGTGTCTGCGGAGCTCCCGTACCGACAGCCTGCTGCCAGGGCTTCTGTTTCCTACCGTTGTAACAGAGAGAGAGAGTCGCTTCTTCGCGTTCGATGCTTGTTTCGTTTTTTCTCTCGTATTTCAGCGACGCGGACAAGAAGCGGATTCTCGAGTTGTACCAGAAGGGCGAAGAGCACTTCGAGGACGTCAACGAGGAGGAGAGAAGGTGAGGGACGAGAGAGACACAGGAAACAAACAAGAAAACACGCGGTTTTCAGCGGTCGTTTCTGGCGCTTGTGCATTCTCTCGTTCCTCTTTGTTGGGTATGGAAGACAACGTACACTGGTTCGTTTCATCGGGGTCGTCTCACTTTCTCGGACATTGGAGAGTACCTTTCCTGCACGTGTTTTGTTCCCCCACACTGTTCCCCACTCGTGAGTATCTGAAGATGTGGGTGGAATATGTTCTATTGGATGTAGTGCTGCCTCCCGCCCCCTCAGCCCACGATTCCAATATGTACGCAGTTTTACGTGTGAGCGTCTCGGCAGGGATGGGTGTCACGGCCATGCCCAGGCTTACTGTAGCCCCAAACCAATGAAAACCCCCACCCACCAATCCGCAACCTCACCCCTCAACACTCAATTTCGGCGTTCAGGTTGATTTTTGGGCGAGCGTATCTAGAGGTGAAGAGTATGCTGGAAGCCAACCTCCTCCGCCGCTTTCTGAACACGGATCGCTTCAAGAGCGTGAGGATGCAGAGGGAAAACGTCCAGACCATGATGGACTCCCCACCCCTACCGGCGGGAGTAGCAGCTGCTTAGACGTGAGGACATATAGCTAGCTAGGCAGGCACAACGATACGGCCGGAGCAGGGTTCCTTGGCGGATTTGGGGTATTGCTACTGTAGAGGATTTTCGGAAATATTTCTATTTCACACTCCCTCATTCCCTTCATCGGGCGTCGACATTAAAAAATACTGGTCTTTCATATCTTCAATATTCACGCAGAAGCAGCCAGCCCCGCAGAAGCAGCCAGCCCCGGGTGATATTAAGCTAGGTGGCTCACGGTATGGAACGTATCAATGCTGCCGTCGATAGAGAGGTCAAGATTCCACCCACCGGGGTGCAGAAGTAGCACCTACCGAAATCATGTTGGTCGAGGGTGAACAGGCGGGGGTTTGGCGAGTGAGGTGCTCGGATTGATTGATTGATGGATCTTGACGACAATCTCCCTAGACTTGCTTCAAGCACCGGGAGTGTTTGTCCAAGCTGAAATGAACCACCCACTACCCGCAAGGGCGGGGCGGGGTCATGAGGACCTCGTTGTTTCGAGCTATTTGCCCCACCCCTTCTTACTGGGAATGGAGATCCATCGAGAGGGAGAGAGAGAGAGCGCCAAGCAACGCTGGTTGTACCTGGACTCAACGGTAGGTCCACGAAGACTGCTGTGTGCACGGGGCATCTGAACAGGTGTTGCTGGAAACGAGGCACACCTTGTTCGGCGTCCTCCCCAGCTCTCGGTGAGGTACATTGCAAAGCTAGTTCCGTCTGAGGCGAAAAATCTCAAAACCGAAATGATCTGAGTGGAAAGAGCGAGGTAGGGAGAACTTTATGTACGTTTGAAAACAGGACATGCATTTTCATTGAGATGGGCACGCAGGGGAGGGCATCTGCCCCCAAGTGTTCCGATCGGTCTTTGTGCGGCGTGGCAGCGGTGGGCCAACTATAGGTAAACTTGGAGTAACATCGTGAGGTGGCAAAAGAGATTTGGCCCCTTTTCGAGTGTTGGAGGTTGTTGCGCCGGATGATAGGGATAGGATAATACGGTTTCACATTTGGAGTGCACTATACATCATGGAGTTTGAATATGATTGGGTTGAAGAATAGTTAAAAAACGTAAATATTGAGGTGGAATTGCAGGGGGTGGACCGCAGCATGGGCAGGAAGTTGCACGGGCAAGTAGGTGGTAGGGTGTTTCCCTCGCCGCGACAAGAACAGAGTTATTATGTGATTTATTTTCACCTGTCTGTATCGGATATCTTCGCTGTTGTTGATGGTTTCGGACGAGACTCGACCAACCCGCCAAATTATGGTGTTCTGACCTCTTTCGCTTTCTTGTTCTGCCCTCGTGTGGCAAACAATAGAACAGGACGGGGATGAGGCGACAAAATCTTCGAGGATAGCGGCGGAAGATGAACACTTGAGCCCCAGCCGCTTGGTCTTTTCGACAGTTTGTTGCTATTTTGTGTGTTCATTCGCTATCTCCGTGATTAAGTTTTGTTGATAAATAGGTGCTCCGGGGTGGGGGAATTCATGCGGCTGCAGCCTGTGTATGTATACGTACAATATCTTGGTCCACAGTAGTAGCGTTGATTACCACGTTTCACTGCTGTTATCGAGCTGCATGCGATGCGAGTTCTTGAACGAGTACGGGAGCAGGGGGGAGAGGGATGTGAAGAGACCGGTGCATCCCGAGGTTCCGTCATTACCGTGATACCGTTGTGGGAAATTGTCAATGTATATCTGATACAGTTCGTAGAAAAAGCTGTAGAAGAAACGTTCTTCAAGGGTTTCTCATTTGTTGCTACTCGTTGTTTGCCAAAATCGACGCGTTTGGGCATTTGTTTTGCTAAATGCGTGCGTATGGTTGGTTTAGTTCGGTGATGTGCTGTTTTGGGCTGTGACATTTTCTCCCTGGACTACATACATGTACTATTTATCGTCTACTTTCATGTGATATGACTTCGGCTCTATCTACCTGTACTGTGGGGCCCAAGTTTCAATTAAAAAAAAAAACTGAAAATACCCTCCTTTTCGACCAGAACGTGGACTATAGAGCATCGATTTGATATGCTGTCTTGTGAGGAAGACAAATAGGGCGGCACTCTTCATCACACCAGTTTGTTTGGTCGTGGTCCGGCAGCAGATGGCCGTGCTTCACCGGCATCTGTGCCCAAAAACCATTGGAGATACTCACTCCCATCCCTGGGAGTTGTTCAAGGTAATGATGGGGGAGGGACAAAAACTGCCACCCACGCACGCACACGAGTTGCTTGGTTCAAACCTATAGAAGAAGCCGAAAGCAAACCATTAGAAATAGACTAGTCAGCGCTGACTAGTCTAAGGGTTTGATTTCGGCTTCTAAAAACCAGGAGAAACAAACACAGACGAACCACTCAGCCAGCTAAAATAAGCACACGCAAAAAAACCGCTGGGAGGGGCAAAAGGCAGTATGCCATGGTATATGCAAACGACAAGAGTTTCAGAGCGAGCGACTGTTGTTGTGTCCAGCTTTCTTTATACTGTATGACGAGCGGACGGACGATGATGTGGGGGGCGAAGTCCGGATACCGGAGTTCGGAGCCCTTGTGTTTTTTGGAGCTTAGCTGTCTTTTTCATCAAATTTTGTCCTTCTCAAAAAAAGACAACTGGCCACAGAAGAACCCCTTCTTACGGTTCGGTGTCTTTTTTCAGAGAAAAAAAGCCAACAGAAAAAGCCAGCCCGTTTTGGACAGCCCATCCTGTCTTTTTCTGGGGCAGTGTTGGATAAATACTATGTCGGGGCTGTCTTTTTCTGTTGTATTTTTTTTGTCACAACCACAATCATACATACATACTATACATACATACATAAATACATACATACATACATACATGATGACGCTACCTACAAACAAACTCTAACAACAACAAACAGTGTTCACACGAGCTGTCTGTGTCATGTGACTGGTGTAGAGAGTCAGTAGCATCAGCGGTGGTAGCGTTTTTGTTCGTTCGGCTGGGCCAAGTGGACATCCCGATGTGTGCGGCGCAAACAAGCGGCAAACGAGCCGAGAGAGTCTGGACGCGGCGGCAGCAGCGGGGGGTCTTTGTTGGTGTGCTGTCAACTTTTGCGAACCCAACTTTTGGGCGCCCTATAGCCTCCTGATCTGTGTCAACCACCGCACAAGACGGACCATAGGCGCAGCTCATGGCGGATACCTTTGTCATCGCTGTTGCTGGAGTGGGTGGCGAGGGAGCATCGATGAACCAAAGTAGTTGCGACTCGGGCGAAAGAGCAAAAAAAAATGCTTCATTCAAGAAGAAAGACGAGGCGGGTCATTTTTCCCGCTTGTTCACGACTCTTCTTGCGCTCAAAATTTTTGAGCGCCCTTCAGCTTCCTGGTCAGACCACCACACAACAAGGCGGACCATACACACACACAGCTCATGGCGGATACCTTTGTCATCGCTGGTGCTGGAGTGGGTGGCGAGAGAGCATCGATAAACCAAAGTTGCGACACAGACAGGCGAAAGAGCAAAAAAACTGGTTGCTGGTGCAAGGGAGAGAATATATATTACATATGTCTTTTTAGATGATGAGTCCCGTGTGTGTCGCATCTCGTGTGGGAGGGATTCATCCAGCTCTTCTTCCCGATCATTTGCACAGACCGCCTGCCGTTTCCCCCAAGAGAGACCACCGCCGGCGGGGGGTCTGCCTCCGCCCGCCGGGCCGTCAGAACCTCCGAATCCGACCGCAGGGCGATGCTGACGTGTACTTGTGTGTGCATTGGTTTTGGTCGAACAGCCCAGCCATTTTCGGGTATAGGGGAAAGAAAAACTGGGTACTCCTCCGGGGGGTGGGTAGCCAAGATCGGGTGCACCCGGTGGAAAGACAGTCAAGGTCGGGTAGAAGCAGGCGTCGCCGGCCAATCAGTTGGTGGCATGCGGTCGCTCCCAGCAGCAGCATCTTGTAGGGGTACCCGATTATGGCCGTGTTTCGACGGGTGTACCCGATTTTGGCCACACACAGCTGAGCACTTCTCTTCCTATTATGACGCACGCTGCGAATCCATCTCTCTCTATCTAATTATGAGACTGATGTCTCCAGGTTCACGTACGTGTGGACAAGTTTGTGGGATGTGTGGTTGGTGTGGATACACACCGGTTCAACCTCTTGTGGCTAACGGATAGTTAGTTGTGTTTTGTGTCAGGTGGGGAGCAACCTTTTGTGTTGATTGATGATGCGCAGCAAGGTTCAGCGTCCATCACACACTGACTCTATCTTATCTATCTGTGGCAACACGCCAAAGAAAGGTAGATCTCCGACAGGTCATCTGACGCCACAATCTACGACAGTCTGAGGTGGCATTGACACAAAGAAAAGAGTCTACGATACATATGTAGTGCACGTGCTTTTTTTTTGTCAACTTTCGGCCGGCCCTGCAGAAATGTCGGGCTGCAGGCAGGCGTGAATTCCAGCAAGAAAAATCCTATAAAAGCAAGACCTCTCACCCGAGAGCCAAAAGCTCAACCACACACAACAAGTGACGTGTGTTCGTTCTTGCGTTGGGAAGCAGCTTGCTCAGCCCGAGGTGAAGGAGACAGCTGCATCACACAGCAGGAGACGGAGTACCACACCAACCACTACTCCCAACCATGGCCCGTGCACTGTCTTCGGTCGATACCGGAGCGTCTAGCAGCAGCGCGGGTGACCCATCTTCTTCGTCGACTAGTACCGGAGGCGCTGGTTCGTCAAGTTATTGGGCGGACCTTGACAAGTATGCGGATGGGGATTTCGATCCGTCAGACCTCTTCCCGAGCTATAATCGGACGGACAAGGGTAAGATAATATGCAACAGGCCAATATCTGTCTTTAGAGGGTATGTATCTCTTGGAGGCAGTTGATAAAGGGTGGATCACTACCTGAGCTATTCCCGCGCCCTGTTCCGTTCTTGTATGTGTCAGCTGGCAAATGTGTCAAGCTGCATGAATTGTGACCTGCAGGAGGAGCGTGTACTCCACTTCGATTGATAACCTGGATATTAAGTAGTTTTTTTTCCGCGCGCTACTCTGTCAAGCTGAAGAATCAAAATTGAATATACCGTAAGCAGATAGCATGCAGCATGTAACGCGGTGGCTGTCTGTTTTCCGCGAGCATGCACAGGAACAAACATCCCGACTCACTCCTCCGTCCTCGCGTCTGCAACCAACCGCTTATTCAAAACAACTCCCCTCTCGTGCTTGTGTTCCGGGTACACAGCATAGTACCAGTTGTGGGATAAGAAAAAACGGATTTTTTTTTGTGGTCGGACGTCACCCTGGGCGACGTAGGGGCGGAGAGAGACAGAGGCCGAGGTGATGAAAGCGATAGAGGAGAAGAGAGATAGTCGACCACGTGTTGATGTTTTGCAAGATCGCCAATGCACACAACCAGCACGCAGCAAATTTCATCCCCTAACGGAAAATAGTACATGCCTGCATACACACTCGGAACATGGATTGATTGCCGCCGACTGAGGAAAAATTCGCCGGGGTTTCCACGCCCGCTCGTTCATGCAGCCTTGGCACTCGTCAGACTGGGACTCGGGTGCTGCTTCATCGTGCTCGGGACCTACGCGTTGGTTCGGTTCTACCGATCGAGATGGATATTGGATATTCGCACGAGGTATGCTGTGCAGATTTTGTCCTTTGAACAAGGTACCGGCAACTTGCTGGCTAGCTGTCTCTTTTTCTTCTGGTTCACCAAACCGAGGGAGTGAAGTACAGCAGTAGTACAAGAGGTGGGTTGGAAAATGTATAGAGTGTACGCCTTCGCCTCGTTCATGCATTGGGCCAGAAGGGCCACCGCCGAAAGCGGTCCTCCGCAGCTCCGCAGGGCCGACTTTTCTTCCAGCGGGGTGTTTCACACTTTTCACCTTTGCTGTGACGGTTATGCAAGAGCTGGGCGGGCGGACAGCGGCAGAGGTTGGTTGGTACTGTAGAGCCGAGGCGGACACGGGAATATATTGTGCATCCCGAAAACCTCGAGACGGCTCTTCGTGGCGGATTTCCGCCACCGAGCGTTGCTTGCTTTGCTCCTGCTCCCACCGTGAGGCCCTGTTTTAATTGCGCTCATCTCCCGCAAGAGTGCGTAACAGACAGGCTCGGTTAGCTCGTAGCACGATACTTTGGCCCAAATCGACATACCTAGACTAATGATCCCTGCGAAAGAAGTGGCAAGTACTGCTTGTATGGTAGGAAGTTCTCTCCATCGATCTCATGAAGTACTTCATGCTTCGTATTAGACTACGGGGCCAGTTTACCGAGATTTTGAACACAACAAAACAACCCGAGATCACGTAACAATCACACTCGAGAAACGCAAGACTATCCGGGCAGTGCTCCCCCCCAAACAGAGTATCCATGTCACGCAGAGTAGCGATTGGGGCTGGTCTCCAGCCGCACACCCGGCACGATCTCTCACCCGAAGGAATTTACTTTAATACTGCTGTTCGGTAGTCAGGGGATGCGGTCATAGCGGTCGCGTTGCGGCTTCCCAACTTGAACACCACCACCTTTAGAGGGAATCATGGAGCAAGGAGGTTAAGAAGCGCGGTGAACGCTGGACTACGCGCCCATACCTCGCGGGTTCTGTTCGAAAAGTAACTATTCTGGGTCGGTAGGCCGTAGGCTGCCATTCGTGCTCCACTGCTGCCTGTACGAACCGTCACCGACACAGACCCCGAAACTCTGTGGGGTCGTCCAAGGCAGCCACGTGGCAGTCTGAGCTTCTGATGTAGGTATTGAAACGCACAAAAAAGTGTCCTTCTGGGCCTACCGTATATATGGGAGGTGGTTCGGTTTCCTTACCCTCTTCGCACAATGTGACTCTGCAACGCACACACCATACACGCGCGTGACGCTATCAACACGAGCTTGTCGACCACGCATTGCACCGCAAACTCTGAAAGGTCCCGGTTTATTAGTAAATGCCACACGGGTGGCCAACAGGAGGTGCCCAACTTCCCCGTGGTCAGGTTGGGACGTTGAGGATCGACCTTGGACACAAGTCTAACCTGTCAGTCCGCCCTATTGATCCCCATGGTCAGGTTGGGACGTTGAGGATCGACCTTGGACACATGTAGTCTACCCTGTCAGTCTGCCCTATTGATTGGACCAACGCCGCGCAATCCGTGATGCGGGGCTAGCTCCATACGTCCGCGTACTGACCCTAGGGAGGTTGTGGGGAGGTTGTGCACCAGATACAACCTATACCTCGGCCACCCGTGCAGTGAGGCGCTCTCGGTTTCGCGGTCCTGTCACCAATACCCTTGACAAAGTTAGGAAAATTTATTTGTCAATTGCTCCTACAAACTATGAGTGAATCCAATCTATGGCGTACCGCATGGCCAGGTCTGCGCATCTGGTCACGCTCCAAGGCGTGAGCTTGCTTTTGTCGATGCTCGTCACCGTCAACGGAGCCACCACCATCGTCTGGGACAGCGGGCTCGACTGGTTCTGGATATCTCTGCTGCTCTTCTTCGTCTCGCCCGCGCTGTTCGGGAGCTACATCTGCCGCGCGCTCCGCCTGGCCGTGGTTTTCAATCCGAGGGCGAAGAGTGCGCTGCCGTGGCTCATCCCGGTAACAAGTCTTGATTTTGTTTTTTGGTGACTGTGGGCCGAGCGGGTTGTGCGTCTCTTCTGCAAGGCATGTTTTCGGACGTGGGTATGTCGGGATCCACGATAGCTTGTGTAGTGGTACAATGAACATGTGTCTCGCTCATAATGTTTTATACTTGTTTTGTCCTCTCAAAATGAGACTATTGTTGTTGCGTTGCTGTAGTTCAACTCTGCACGCGTTCATCCGCGTCGTCCCACCTACGGTCGAATAACTCGGTGATACAGTAGCGTCGCCAACATATGCCGCACGCAACCGTGATAGCATCCCTCTCTCGCCGCCACACGATATCGGACCATCGTTTGAACCGCTCCTCCTTCTCACTACCCACCGTCTCCTATTCTCATTTATCTCGCGTTGGCTCTGCGTCTGTGTGTGCCTCTTGTGCCCCTTTTATTCTGCACTTTCGGACGGCAGGAGCGCAACTACTTGGCGGTGCTGCTGCTCGCAAGCATAGGAATACTGGCAATCCCTATCTACCACGAGTACACCTTGGAGGTTTGGTGAGATCGAGTACCGTACAAACGAGAACACAAAACGAAAACTCCCCCCATACCGTAAAAGCGGCTCTTGAGGTTCATGATGTGGATGTGCGATGCGAAGGGTTTTCATGATTTGTCTTGTAAATGGGAGCTCCGGAAGCCTCTGCAATGTTGGTGGTATAGCGTTCTGCCCTCTGCTCTCTTTGGTCATTCGTGTGTGATGGCGTTGACGAAGTGCCTCATCGTTCGTGTCTTGGCGATTGGACTATCCGCCGTTGTTCCCCTCTGCGTCTCGCCCAGGGACGCCATTCCGAAACAGACCAGCATCCTGAAGGCGCAGGCCCGCGTGTTAGCCGTGATGCTGGTTTGCATTTACCCGTTCATCAGGAACGTTGACGACCTCTTCAATATCAGCACGGAGCTCATTACTGTCACTGTGACCATCGTGGTCGTCACAAGTGAGGCCCACAGCTTCGTCTTGTTTATAATAAGTGTGGACCTATTCTGTAGCCTCAAGTGATCACGCCTGGTTGGTTAATTGCTATGATTCCCCGTCCTTGTTTTCGATAACCTTGTCTTCGAGACCTAGCCTGCAAGACACTGCGATTCACAGAGGCCGTTCGAAGTGCTTCGACGTGGGCATCCTGACAAGATTAGAAGTACGTAGTCTAGGCAGCTACTCTCAACCCGATGTACAGTAGTGTATCTAATCCCTTGTTGGCGTAGTACCTTCATGCTTGCTGCTTTTTCCTGTCTCGCAACGGCCGAGATTGTGGCGGTGCTATTTTTCGTCGTAAACCTCATCACCGTTGCTGGTTTCATCCGTTATCTTTGTTCTCGTCACCTGCGTGAACCACACCAGTCGTGCAAGAGGTCGTCGACAAATGGGGCGGGAACTTCGAGCAGAGATGGCTCACAAGCAACATTTCTGTGGTGTTCGTGGCTGTCCTATTCTGCATCAGGTGGGTGCTCTCTCTCTTGTGTTTCTGCTCGCCATCCGCCTGTGGGTGAGATTTCGGTTTTGAATCGAATAGATAGATGCTTTTGGTTGTTGATCGTTTGGACGGAATACTCCTCGGCAGGCTGACTAAGGCCCCTGTGTCGGAGATTGGTCCATGGATTGTTGATCATTTTGATTGGTCGTTGCAGACTAAACATTGTTTCGGAACAATTAAACAGGCTTCGGTCGATAAACGTGAATAGCTTATGGCAATCGGTTTCGGCCGCACGTGGAAGGGGGTCGGCTCGACACAGGCTATAGCGGGTACGTGGTTGTATCGTGACATCTTGCTCTTGAACGTCTGGGTGGCCGTTAGACGAATTGTACGTCGAACCTCGCTGGCAACACGTCCCACCTACCACCAAACGATTTCCGTAAACGATGTCCTCGTCCAACACGTCACCGCGCAGTATCGTGGCCCCGCTGCGCCGCCTAGCGTTGGACCCTTTGGCGGCAACCAAGCGAAACTACGCCGATCGGGTGCTGCTCAGCCGCACGGAATCCCACAGGTGAGCGACCGAGCACGAGCCACAAGTAGCAAGAGGAGAAGCACGCGCGGACGCATGCCCAATGTGTGGCTGAGCGTCGCGGTGGCGTCGTCGTAGGGGTCATAGAGTGGTGACGTGAATCGGTTTAAGTAGGCATTACCGTAAGGATGCAAGAGAACGCACGGGGGTGTCATCGTTTTTCTTAGCATGATTCTCCACAACCAGGAGGGTACAGTATGTACCACTGCCGACAAGGGAGGTTGGCTTTTGAAATATCACGTCGAGGGCTTTCCTAGGAGGTTTCGGTTGGTGTTCGCACCCTGCTGTTGTGGAGCAATCAAGCGTTCAAGAACGCTAAAACCCCCGTGCGTTCTCTCGCATCCTAACAGTACTCGCCTTCCACAGAGGCGTCAATAGCCTGACGGATGCGGAACGGGTTGAGTCTTGATCATCATTTGCTTTTTTACTTTGACATCATAACAAGCTTGTACATCAAGATGTACTGTAGACCAATATGGGAGTTATAAGCCATCTCTTCGTCGTCTGCGTAGGCACGGTTCTCCGGCTCTAGAGAAAGGCATGGGGCAATACCACAATACATATTTTAAGGCAAGGCTACTCCCCCCCCGCCCACCCCCTATGCACCAGCACGAGATCAGCTTCCGGTATTTCGCCAGAAAGAGCCGGCCGCTCGTCAAGGATAGTGGACGACAGCGACGACGAAGTCGCGTTCGAGGACGAAGAGCTTGGAGGAGTCCCGGGCATGGACACCACAGCAGCAGCAGGAGTAGGAGGTGGTAGCACTGGCAAGGTCGCCACCTCCTCGGCCGTCGTTGGTAGCGGTGTGATTACCACGTCCACCGCCGACGCCAACGTTGTCGCTCCCCGTACGTGGAAAGGCCGGGAAATGACTATTGCGAATGGATCGACGTCCGTACCCAAGGGCAGCGGCAGCACCGGCAAGAGGCGTGATGCCGTGCAGCGGGGGCAGAGGGGGAGGGGTGGCGGCCGTGGCCGCGGTGGTGGCGGTGGTCGAGGCCCTTCGGATAGAGAGGAGATGGAGGTGTGGGATTTCGAGCGCCTTGGAAGGACGCCCCTGCTGGCGGCCGCGTTCGAGGACTATTCTAAGAGGGCACTCTGCCACGAGTCGGTGCTCTTTCTGAGCGAGGTTTCTCGGTGAGTAGAAGGCCCGGGGGGGAGAGGGAGTTTAGATGGAGCAGTCACCCCCCTTACTAAGATGGATCGGAGATGATGCGGTGACATGCGTGGTATCCTCGTGTCTTGCCCATTTTGATGGTTCCCTCATCTTGTTTTGCGTTGGGTGCCTTGGTGCGCCGCAGCCAGTCAACGCAGGAGTCGGGTTAACTTCCAAACAAGTCTAGGTGGAGGAAAATTGCGCAAACAGTCTTCTTTCGCCATTCGTCGCCAAGAATCCTTTCTTTCTCTCTTTCTCACGCGACAGGTACCAGAACGACGACTACGCTACGCCGACAAACGCTGCCGGGACATGTCCGACTCAGTTCGGCACGTTCTGCTACATCACGGACACCTTCATCAAGGCCGGCGCGCCGGAGGAAGTAAACATTAGGTGAGCTTCGACAGGCAACAACAACGAGCGTGACTCGAAAACGGTAGTCCATGGTCATGTTTCGTTTCTCGCTCGAACACCGCCAAGCCGTCAACGTGATGCCGGCGTATCGGCGGCGATTGACCTCAAGCCATCTGGGACACGGCGAGAGTTTTTTTGCAGGCACTCCTCCGAAAGGCTTGGGGGGGTAGATTGGTCCAGTAAAGTACTCCATGTGGTTTAGTGCTCTGGGATGGCTAAGATCCCTGGTTGCGCTGGGGGCAGATTGGTCCAGTAAAGTACTCCATGTGGCGTAGTGCTCTGTGATGGATAAGAGGCCTTGTTGCGTGGTGCTGACTATTCTGCGGCCTGCTGATCGACAAAGCGGCGTTCGTGATGCGTGTGTGGTTTGTTTTTTCTTGTGATTCAGCGACAAGGACAGGAAGCTGATACTCGAGTTGTACCAGAAGGGCGAAGAGTCCTTCGAAGAGGTCAACGAGGAGGAGAGGAGGTGAGCGGCGAGAGAGGCGATTTGAAAACCCGACGAACGGCATGTTCAGCCAGTATTCGTTTCTGGCGGTTGTGCACACCCTACAGTAGTGTTCCTTTTCTTGGTATTGGGAGGTACTACTTCATTCAATGTTGCTCTCTTCTGAGGTGTTCTCACTTTCGTGGGCATGTAGAAGAGTGCCTTTGGAGCACGAAACCCCGTTACATTTCCTGCAATGTGTATTGTTCGTCCGCACTGCGAGCCACTCGCACGCATCTGGACGGCGGTTGTGAAGGAAAGGGTACCGCATGTGTTTGTGCCGCCCAAACCCCCTTCCACGGGCATTTAGGTGGGGGGTTTTTTTTTTGACGGGGATGGGCGCAACCCCCATCCCCAGACAAATCGAAAAAGGGTTGATTGACCCCCCCCCCCCCCCCTCTCAAACCACAATCTCGGCGTTCAGGATGGTATTTAAGCGATCGTACCTTGAGGTGAAGAGCATGCTGGAAGCCAACCTCCTCCGCCGCTTCCTCAACACGGACCAGTTCAAGAGCGTCAGGAAACAGAGGGAGAACGTCCAGGCCATGATGGACTCCCCGCCCCTGCCGGCGGGAGTCGCAGCTGCCTAGCCGGGAGTTAGATGGGGAGACGCAACGATATGGGTGGGGCTGGGTTCTTTGGGGATTTGGGGTAGCTACGGTAGGATTAGGATACGATTCACACTCACTCGCTCCTATAGTAGTCGGTTCTCGGGAGCATTCACCGGTTCCAATGTCCCCAACATTCAGGCAAGCCATCCGTTTTGGCGGGGGATACTGGGCTAGGTGGCTGACGGCATTTATCGCATTATTGCTGTCAATGTAGAGGTATTGGCTCTCCGCTCAGGTGGGTGGCGAAAGTAGCTCGTGTCGAAAAGTACTGTGGTGAAGGGTTAGCAGGCAAATCAGGGGGGTGGAGAGTGAGTCTTCCACCATTTTTGCTTGGGTGCGAGGGAATTTATCGGTTTGTCGCCCTTTGACACCAATCTCCCTGGGTCTTCCTTGACGCGCCCGGAGTAATGTGTGTTTCAAGTGACAGGGACAACGCACAAGGGCGGGACAGGGTCTTGGGGCCCTGGTCGTTTCCAGCTGTCTCCCCTACCTTAGAACGGAGACCACAAAGAGTGTGTGTGCAGGAGAGAAAGAGAGAGATAGGGGGGGGGTGAGGTAGACGCTGGTCGAACCTGGATTGGACAGGAGGGCCACAAGGATTGCGTAGTGACCGGGCATCTGAACAGGTGTGGCTGGAAACTAGATACGCTGTGCTCGGCGTCCCCAGCTCGGGTGCGGATATTTGCGAATTTTCTTCGGTCTGAGGTGAAAATCTCAAAGCCGAAACGCTCTGAGTGGAAAGAGCGAGGTAGAGTGAGCTTTATTGCACGTTTGTAGATAACACAGGGCAGGATTTTCATCATTTAAGATGGACACACAAGGAGATTTTATTTGCAGGGGTATTCCCGTTGTTGTAACAGTGCGGTGCGGTGTGGTGGGGTGTGTTTTTCTTTATCTCGGTTGTTTGACCGTGCGCGGTGTAGAGTAGTACATAGTCTAAGTGGGCGGGGTTATTTTCATCCTGAACTGTGGCGGTGCGGTACGGTACGGTGCTGTTGCGGTGCGGTTTTTCATGTCACGGTGCGGTGCGGTGCGGTGCGGTGCGGTTATTTTCATCCTGGAAAGTGACGTTGCGGTGCGGTGCGGGTGTGTTTTTCTTTTGTCGTGAAATGTGAGGTGCGGTGCGATGCGGTGCGATTTTTTCATGTCACGGTGCGGTGCGATACGGTTCAAACCGTACCACACTGTTCATACACACGGCACCGTGATATGGCTGGTTGTTTGCACCAAACTATCGATTGCGATAGACTTGGAGTGAAACGTGATGTGGCGAAAGGGAGTTTGCTGCATATCGAGTTTGAATGTACGATACTGGCGGGGGGAGGGGGGAGCGGTTCAAAACATGGTTCGGTTTGAACGAGTACGAAAAGTTTAGATAGAGGTTGACTTGCGGGGGATCCACCACGACAAGGCAGTACACACCAAGCGAATAGGCGAAAGCCTCACCGCGACAAGCGCATGCTGAGCCAACGCACCTCTTCCGTCAGCACTTCTCTGTTTTTTTTGCCAACCTATCTTCCTGTAGTTGATGGTATTGGGCCGAGAGAATCCCCTTTACCCGCAAAAAGGGTTTTCTGATCGCTTGCTTTCTTGTTCTGTTCCCTCGTGGCAATAAACAGCATCTACGGGGTGGCGAAGAATGACGTTGACGGGGGGGGAAGATTGATGTGCACGAGGACATGCCGCTTGGTCGCGTCGATAAGCATGAGTTGCGGTTACTCACATGTGTGTGTATTCATTCATTCGCCGTTGGTTCTCGTTGATATAAGTTGGTGAGGGTTAGCCTGTAGATTCTGGATGGGAGAATTCTTGAAAGCTTGCAGATGATATATATTATATGTACATTACCTCCTTCGAAGCCAGTAGCTTTGCTGCCGAATCGCATCCGTGTCAAATTGCTGGTAGATCAAGATTTGTGTCCGTGTTTCCGTAATTTGTGTGAACAACTCTCCTATCTAGCAACCAATAAGTTGACTTGGTCAATATCATTTCCCAATCAATGCATGTAAGATCTCCTCACTCGGTGCATTATTTTAGGTGTCTTTGGTTGCGAGAAGGTGCCACAGGCACAAGGAAGTTCAGTTCCAAAACAACCTCTCTCTGAGAGGGATGCTTGGTGTTTTTCAGACTATACGGTCACCAGAGATTCATTCAAGCATTTCGACCTTCTGGAGCTAGTGTGGACTACCCAAAGTTGAATATTAGTGTTGTTTCGTGTTCAACTTTTTGTATTCTGGAAGAGCAAGTATAGTGCAGTCGACGACCTTGGGCCGATCAACATCGCCCACCACTCCGATGCTCGTTACCCCACCATCGAGACTGCCGTCTGCGGATCATGTTGACTTGAAGTTCACGGCGGTTTCGCTCTCTTCTTCGGCAATAATATTGGTATGTCGCGTGGAGCCGCTGCCGATGGTTCGTTGCCCGATGAGATTACGCGCATCGAATAGCGACTGCGCGCTGGTGGGTTTTGATTTCGAATTTTAGTGATGCTGCCGTTCGGTTGCGATGTAGACAAGTTTGGCGCGTGGCTGTTTTTAGTGCCGCAGTTTTTTTTGTCCGTTTTTTCCCGCCCGTCCGTGTGTTTGAGGTCCTCTTGCTCCTTGATGCGGCGGTGTAAGCCTGCCTTTGTTTCGTAAGTGCGACCCCTTTCCCCGTTGTTGTGACGTGCGGTTGTTGCCGTTTGGTACGTCGTGGCACTCGGCACACGCACGTAGGTGCGTCTGCCTGTTATTTCATTTTCTGTCGTTCTGACGACCGCACGCAGTTAGTGATTTTTCTTGTCGATCCGACGATACAGTACAGGCATTTTTTGTTCGTCCTGACGATGTTGTTGTTTACTTGTTGCAAGTATGTTGTCTCTTCTCTTCTTCTTTTCGGGTTACGACCTGGTTGCACGTTTTTTTTCGTGTTGGCATTTATTTGCTGCTGCTTGTTGTCCTTTCGTTCCTTTTTACCCCGGTCTACCCCTTTTCCTGTGCCTCATGTTTAGGCGAGCGATGGTCTTCTTGCGACCTATCGCTCGAGTTAGAGAGAGAGGTGTAGGAGGGTGATTTGTTGTGTTTGGATCTCCGCATCCATCCTTAATCCTCTCAATCAATCGTGGATACGGCAATAAATTGCCACGTCTCGGGAATCAAAGATCATCTGTAAAGAAGCGCTCCAGGGTGGACTAATGTTACGGGATTTGAGTGCAGGGGTATCAACGGTACTTACTTCTGGTTTTTCCAAGAAAATCTGATCATCACACGAGACACATGTAGACGAAGGGTAGAAAGTGTTGCGCGAGAAAAATCCTCTGGGTGTCATACATACGTGGACCACCAGCGGTTTGGGTTTGTCTCCACCAGAGCACATCATGTGCAACACCTCTCTCTCTCCCTAACCCCACGTTCGAACCAAGAATGGCAAAAAACACAAAAGCACGAGTAGTGAGGATGGATTCAAATTTCAACGAATTAGTTGCGTTGCAGGCAGGCTTGCACTCCCCATGTAATTTGTGTATGTAGAAGTTTTGTTTATTAGAAAAGTCCCTCCGGCAGCTGCATAACGGTGAAAAAATAGTCGTTGGAGGCCGTCGTTGGTTCGGGAGTACTGTAGTAGGAGCTGGGGGCACGACAGCAGACAAAATTAGTTGGATGGGATACACACATATTATTATAAGATCGGGAGTTTTGGAAGGGTACGCCCACAAAGAAGGAATGCCCGCACATACATGTGAAAAAGTGACCAGGGCATATAAATTGCTGCATCATGGCCCATTGACACAATTTCTTGAGGTTACAGAAACGCAGTTAGTTACAGACACATATTACGGTGTTTGCGAAGTTGAAATTTCAGTTTCATCTTGGTCTTTTTGATCCCCCCGAGCGCCGAAGACCAATGGATCTTTAGGAATTCAATCTTTTGCTTTATGGAATTGCCCCCAAAGACCGCAGGAAAGCTTGAATTCAGTCTTGCTCATTTTGGTCTTCTTTGAAGGAACAATTTTTGATTGGCCTACACACCCCGAGATACTCCCGACGTCCTCCCGACACCGCCGCACCATCCCGTGGAGCTGCCCAAACACACACACCTTGGCCGCCGTAGACGACACCATGCATGGCGAACCAACTACAAACAGCAGCAGTGCCGCCAGACCACAGACGGTCAGACAAACGTCGCTGCACCGCACACCCGGTGCGCATTGCATGCTGCCGACATGGTGCAACTTTTGCTTCATCTTAAATGTTTATGCGTGGACAGAAGCATGCCGCTCTACATGCATGCTCATAATAATAAGTGACACATCAAACCGCGGCGTGAGGAGGGTGAGGCGGTGAGGCGGGCGGCATAGATCTCAGGAGTGCGGCACAGGTGGTGGAGGCGGAGGTGATGGAGATGGGGATGCTTCAAGCGGCGTGGGGGCGTGAGGAGCTGCAGCGCGTGCGTCCTGTGGACCGTGCTGTGGTGATTTGTTTGACAGGAAACTATCGACTCCGTCGACGACTGACTGCGATATGTATCACAACTTGTTCGCGTGCTGAATGAAGGGGTACGTACACACATACATGCATGCCTCCGCTTTTTGCGGCGCTACGCTTCCCATGCACTCCCGGTAACTGAACTGGGCCAACCGCCTGTTCATGAATTAGTACGTTGCTCCATCAGTATTCTCCATGACTGGGGGTGGGTGAGGGTGCAGTGATAGTGGAGTAGTAGTAGCCTTGTTGGGGTGAAAGCGGAAGCTCGGAAATATGTTTGGTGTTCCGAGTCGGCTCAACCATCTGTCTGCCGCCGCCGGCAAAGGGGCTCCGTCGTATTGAACGCAACGTTCTAGGAAATTTCCGCATGTTCAAGACTGAAATATTGCGCTCCGGTCTTCGCAAGCTATTTTTGAAACCAAAATTCAATCTTGGGCCGGAATTCCTTCAAACTTCCAAGACTGAAATGGGAGACCATTTCGCAAACACCCTATTTTCTAGCCCGCATTTAATTTGTCCGCATTTCTTTCACGCCCGCCCGCGGCTCTCCTTTCACGCGCTCCACCGAAATCCCGCCAAATCACTCCATCCACCAAATCACCACAAAACCCCACTTGTTTCAATAATCAACATCCTTCATCCCCTTCACAAGACCCACCGCCAGGCCAACCCAGAGAACCTGGGCACCTTCGATCGTCGCCGCCTGCGTTTCATTCATTTCCGGTAGGTGGCGGGCAGTGTGCATGGCTGCTGTGTGACTGCTCATCATGTGACTGCTGCTGTGGCTCCCACAGCAGCCAAGCAGCAAAGAGTGCTTATTCTATGATAGGCTGTGGGTTAAACCACCTACTGCTGTCTTCCTTGTTCCCTGTGTCCCATGCCATCGTGTCCTACCTGCAGTCCAGGGGTGCGCTACGTGGTGCTGTGTAGGTTGTAGCATACAATAATGAATCTGTAGATGGCCGCTTGTAACTTTGTTCAAACGTGTGTTCGTCATGGTGGTCTCCACAACACCACCTCAAATATCATCCTGAGCACCTGCAACGGGGCTGCTGCAACGTATCGCGCACCTATCCGCGGTGCGCTGACCTCACAACAACCAGCGGTGATTGGGTTAGGTATTAGAATTTGGGTACGCGCTTGCTTGCTGTTCATTCAACCCGGGATGGATGCGGGAAAGTGCCTTTGGTGGTCTCCATACAATTTCGGATCGCATCTACAGCACACATCTACACTGCAAGTAAGGTGCGCGTCTTGTTGTGTTACCCTTTCTTTCGATCAAACATCGCGGTCGGTCGCCGTTTCCATCCCCCCCATGTTCGTCTCTCTTCTTGCTCTTTTTCTCACGGATTCCTCCTCCACCGTCTTCGTGCCTCTCTTCCCTGGACATCAACCAATGGATGGCCATGGATCGCCAAACAAACGCTGTCCAGCGTCCTGCTCAGCCAAGCGTCAGAAGCGCACAGAAACGATCCTCAGCTCTCTCTGACCGAGTTTGCCGAACGATGTGGTGAGTGGTCTGCGAGAACACTGGGTCTGCGGTATAGAAGCCGAAGTTGTTGAGAAGCACGATGACCACTACACACCACTATAGTCAGCGTACTTCTCAACAGTTATTGCCCGTTTCTGGTCTGGTTTTGCGGCCACGAACACGTTCCCCCAGTGCTGCCATCCCTGTGATCAGCTCTGCCTTGCGCACTTTTTTTGAGAAGCACGATGACCACTAGACCACCAGTCAGCGCTGACTGTAGTCTAGTGGTTTGAATTCGGCTTGACTACAACAATGGCTTGATTTTGGCTTCTATAGCGGTGTGGACCGCGCACGCTGTACATCTGTTATCTATGGTGTGGTTTAGCGTTGTTGAACATGAAGTAAGGTAGCATAATTACTTGTAGCACACATTGAAGCCAGGGAGCAGTGCAACCGAGAAAAAAAGAGAAATAGAGAGCGCCCTCGGAAGGGGGAGGAGGGACGGAGGGGGGAATACCGTGAGAGACAGCTCGAGAGGCACCCATGCTGATTATTCATGCTGGTTTGGTGGATTTACCAGTAATGGTATCCCATGAGACATGTGGGACATTCCCCGTGTCCGTGCGACGTTCCACATGTCCCGAGGGACAGCCATTGGGCGTCCCATGCAGACATCCGATAGTGTCACGACCTGCATTTCCGGCCCACGCTGACGCCATTTGTGAAGGTGTCGACGTTGTAAATAAATGTCAGACGACAGGTATTCGATGGTGCCCGGGTTCTGCTGCAGAACACTCTCCACCCACAGAACTTACCCTCTTCGGCCGGGCCCATTTGGGACCGGGCAGGGGATTTCGATAGGGGTGTCAAGATACTCTTTTCTGTAGGTAAGGTGCTATCAGGACTATATTTTCTATTAGAAGTACATCTGTAGTGTCTTCCTGTGGAATGACGTTCGTCGAAGGGAAGGAGAGGAGGAGAATGACCTCCTGAGAATGCATCCTGGACTCGACCCTTACACAAAACCGTTCCGGTTTCTGCTCAGGATCAGGCCCACCTGACGGAGTCTCGTGTACAGTAGGTACATTCACACGTTGAAACACCAACAACTAGGCGCAGAGGCCCCCGAAAAGCAGCACGAACGCGATCATAGAAAAAACGAACATAAAACTAAATGGAAGGGCCCGAACCAGTAAACAGAATCAGATGTCGCCGGCGACCGATCGGGTAGAGGAGATGCACACGTACACGGAGGGACTCGATCGCTCCCGCTCGGCAAGCCATGCCATACAAAACACAGAAAGTACGACAAGATATCGTTGTGCTCTTTCTAGGCCGGGGTGGGGTGTACTCGCCGACGGGGTTCTGCGGGCCATGTGTTTCCCCAACACATACCTACACAATCGAGTGTGGGGGAGCGATCACGACACCAATGATGCCTAAATGCTCCACTCCAACACCGACAAACAAACAAGACACCCCCGCCCCCCACAAGAGTACTACTCCTGGATGTCACATTCTCGCCAGCCAGGCTTGCCCCCCCCATACGCAGACAAGCGGAAGCGCCTCACAGAAGGGAAGGGAAGTGGTACCATGGGAGCAAGGGGCTTACTAGCGACAGGTGACTCAAGGGAGACATCCGGGGGGTGTTCTGCCCCCTCCATCACATTAATCCTGGCGCATATTTTGCTACACGTTCTGCAGTCATGTCCTCAGACTGGGTATTTCTTCGGTTGTTTCCCTACCCCACACACTCGGTTGCATGACCCCTTTGCTGCCCCGTTTTGCCGCACGTCAGCCGACTGGCCTTGTCTTCCTCCTCCTTGTGCCAGGAGAAAATGAACCTCTCTTCCCCCCCTTAGCGCCCTCGCATTCACTGTCACCGCCAGGCACCTCCATCCGAAGAGACTGTGTCTTCTTCTCGGACTCGGCCAGACCAAAGGCTCCAGACGCTTCCACGGCCTCGTCAGCCTTTCAGGCAATCTCGATACGAGTCCCGCGTCGTCGACATGCAGCATTCCCCATGTCGCCCTCTGTACGTATTACATCGGTGTCGCTCGCCCCAGGCCTAGACTACATCAGATCCTTGAGGATTAAGCGTCGTGTCGCTGAATCGCACAAGATCGACTGAGATCGCCGCTGCGAAAAACATGCGCGGAGACAGCGCACATCTTTGTCGCAATCCCTGTGTGACCTTCAACGAGTCCGAGAGCTCGCCGTGAACCATGCGTACCCGGGTTTGCGTGCCATCGTGGAATTGGCGGATGACTGTGATCAGTTGGTACGGGACACCGGCTCGAGCCAGTGTTTGCCACAGCAGCACTTGGTCAACCGAGTGGTGGAAATTTATTGATATCGACGAAGTACAGATATATGTTCCGCCGCCGACCCAGTTCCTGCGGTCGACGCACTACGAACAGCATGTCGACGGTCGATCGATCAAGCCGGAAGCCGCACTGCTCCTCCGTTGAGATGTCGGGGGTTTCGAAGCAGTCGCTGAGGCGATTGGCGACTACCTTACGAGGCAATTTGCCTGCGCGCGCGAGAAGTGAGATCGGGCTTCGTGGAGAGCCCCGTGACAATGGCTTCTTTTCGCGCCTCCTGCAGGACCTCCCCTCCGTTCCACACGCCGACGAGGATCGCATACCAGTTACTGATACACGAATCGTACCGTTCCTGGTCACTGAGGGTAAAGTATGGGGGTGGCCAGTGTTTAGACGGGCCCGGTTCCCAAGGTATGGGTAATCTGATTTTGCCCTGATTGTCCACCTTCGTAACTGGCATCATCCTGGGCACTGGTTGGATGCCCCGGTTGTGCGCATTTTCTTCATGACTTCCGACTTTCCACAAGAGGAAGCTGCAGTCTCGAGAGAATCTCCTGGACGCCATCCGACTCCAAGAGACGCTATTGGCCCCGTCTAGAGTATCGAAGTGCCCTGCCTGGTCCCAATGCGTCCAGCCGGAGAGGGTACGTTCTGTGGGTGGAGAGTGTTAAGAAGGACCCGATTACCAAGGTATATGCGTGATTTGACGTTACCTTTACCGTACACCTTCGCAGATGGCGTCGTCGGGAGGACGGTGGTTCTGTAACGTGATTGTGCACTTGTATTTTTTTCTGACGTCGATGTATTCCATAAGAGGACAGTAAAGTCTTGAGATCACGTCCTGGGCTCGGTCCTACTCAACAGGAATCTGTTGACACGTCAATCGAATCACCTTCAATCGACGTAGGCCGTGGTTATCGGGTCCTTCTTCACACTCTCCTTTCTCAGAGGTAGCCCTCTACGGCCGGACCCAGCGGGACCTGGCAGGTAAATTCGATAAATTTTGTGGACACATTCCTTGTCAGCAGGATGGGGTCCTGGAGGTGCTCGCACGACTTTACCTTCCTCTGATGGAAAATGTCAAAGTCAAGAGCAAATACGTGCGCACAATAAGGGTGTAGAACGCTGTCCTGGCGACGCTGTCTGTGAAGGTGTTCGACTACGGTAAAGGTCAAATGACTGGCGCCTTGCTTGGTATTCGGGTCCTTCTCAACTAGACACAGCAGTTTGTATCGACTTCACGGTCGACTAGGGAAAGGACAACGACGCATACAGAGCTGGTGCGGTTACTGCGGTTGTCGCGGTAAAAAAGTGCCTTTCGTTGGGAACTATGGCGTATCCTCATCTACAGGCAACTACATTTCCTTCGACATTTTACGATCTACTGGAACTTCCGAACATACGTAGAGTTTAAGCAACGGACGTTGCCATTCGGACATTACGATTTGGCCGTCGATCGTGCGGATTCTCTTTGTTCGACACCTGGTTGGAGCCACGATTGATTGTCTGTGTGGACTTGGCAGATGTTTGTTCCGATCCACGAGGGTTGTTTCTCTACTTGCCGTGCTTTTGAAAGCTCTGGCCCTAAACGTGGATTCTTGCTGGGTCAGACGGACGGCGCGCCACCACGAGGGTTGTTTCTCTACTGGCCAAGCACACGAGGGTTGTTTCTCTACTTCTACTTGAAGCTCGACCCTGCCCATGGCTGGCAAAATCGGCAGCGGGCACACACCACCGCGAGGGTGGGAGATCTTGTGTGCGTTTTCGACGCGTTCAACACCATGCTTTTCCCCCCCTGCGTTCACCCCCTTGCCCCCCGAACGTTTATTTGCTTAGATTTGCGCGGAACATTTCGTGCGTCACCTTGTCCGTCGAAACGTTTTTGCTTTGCTTCTCGGACGGGTATGCCATTGTGGTACACTTGGGTCACCGCTCGCTGTCCAAGGCACTTCCCGGGCTCAATATAGTATATGTTTACGTGTACGGGAAAGTTACGTGTGCTTGGCGTAGATTTCCGACGGGTCTTGCCTCTCTTGTTTTCGTTCTGGCTCGCATGTGTGCCCGCAGACCATCGGCAAGACCACAAAGAAGGACCTCAGTGGAGACGTGACGACCACCTTCCCCTCCCTCGTCCTGTCGTCGTCTGACTTTACCCCAGAAAATGTGAGGAGGGCAGGGGCGACGCCTCTGATAGGGTGCGCCCGTTCCCGCTCGAAACCCTAGGCCTTGGTTGGACACTGTCCAAGCGTTGGTGACCACAGTAGCAGTAGCGTACCGGAGTGCAAACCGCATGCTTTGACACCAACCCCCAAATCGATGTACAGATATGGCCGTTTAATGTTTTCATATTTCTGCTCGTGCCATGGTTCTTGATAATCTTTTCTACCGTTTACTGCACGGAAGGCGTGGAAAGTTGTCTCCCAAACAGACTGGGATGTATGCGATGCAGAAATATCATGGCGTTTTGCTATGCCGAGCAACATGTTGGTGCCAGCGACAAAGTCTCGATATCGATGGTGCAGCAGGGGATGTGAACGGCGTGTTGTTGGGTGCGTTGACTGACTATCCGTAGCCCCTTGTGAGATCCTCACGACCCCCACCCCACGTCAACTTGTCCCCTCGACTTTGCTGTCTCTTTATCCCCTCCCCACCCGGCGTTTTTCCTGCCGCGCGCTTGCCCCTTTTCTCGTTTCTTTCGTTTCTTTCAACACTCTTGCACGCAGCCTTTGACGACAACGACGGATGATGACTTCGATGACAGCGCGTTCGGCAGATTGTATCTCGATATAAAGCAAGGGTCTTACTCACGTACCGCCATCGCCGAGGTTGAGCCGTTGGATATTGGCACCTTTCTCGGCAACATTGGTGGATTCTGGGGTAGGTGGCGGCAAGTGATGTTGTTGGTTTCGTGGTTATGTATGGAGGTGTTGACGACACTATGCTCCCAAACACCTGAAGGACCCGCCTTTTGTCCGCACGAAAGGCCTGGAATTTTTGCAGGTCGTGAGACGAACACACAGCATTTTCATGGATGTCTCGCTAATGGAAAATCGTGCGCCATGATCTTCGATTTTCGTCCGAGAGGAATTTTGGGGGTTTCAGGGAGTTGGCGCTGGAGGAGGACGTTCGGCCCATCGTTTGAACGTAATGGTGCCCCGCAGAGCGATGTTTCCCTCTGCGATCTCACAAATGTGTCTTGGCCGTCCAACCAGCGCTTCAAATGAATGTGAATACATCTGATACCTGCTGCGCAACGTATTGATTTCAAACTCAAGCCCATCCTGTGCACTAGCCTAATTTGAGCTAATATTTTTCTCAGCAAATCGGTTCTCGGCGAAATTTGTCCTCACCACCATGCCGAAATTCATCCCCCAAACCCTTAGTCCCCTGTGTCGATCTTCCTGCACCCTTCAGAACTGCTGCTCATTTTTTGGGGGCTCTTCTTCATCGCCACACAGGAGGAACGTGAACCAAAGATGAAGGCTCGGGACTTCGCCAAGACAGTCCAGACCACGAAGGAAATTGTCACCAGACGTAGAAGCCTGTCTGTAGACGCTGCTGCTTCCACAAACTCGGGTATTGTAGAAGATCGGCTTCATTGGGATCCGCCTTCCGAGGTGACAACCCCCTTCATTCCAACACCGCCGCCGCAGCCTTTCCTCCAGTTGTTCCCGTGAACGACAGTGTTGGAAGCTCGGCGGGTGGCGGCGCTTCCAACACTGGCAGCCGCAACGGCAGCACGAGCAATGGCCACCGGCGCCGCACGACGGTGAGTTCGGGCCGCAGGGTGAAGGCAGGTTCGTGAAACGGCGATGCTTCCGCGTTTTGCTTTCGCGCTTCGATTGGATCGAAGGAGCTTAATAGTGCTGTAGTAGTTTAAGTCTTCGGGCGAATGTGCAAAGACAGGCAATCTCCCGCTGATAGCTTCCGCAGGAAACGCCGACGGAGACATCTGTCGTTGTAATATTACTAGAACTCACCACCTTCGTTTTTCTACGTTAGTGTTGTGGAACATCTGCTAGATGTTATTGCGAATTTTTTCCTATAATGTTGGGTCGGCTCTGTCTTTGTACAATCCCGCACTTCACCTTTCAATGTGTTGTGGAACATGTAAACAATTGTTATTGCCTCAATGTTGCTTTAGTTTTGGGTCAGCTTTCATGTTTCTTTTTTTTGCTCTTTTTGTGGTTTTATCTCTCTGTTTATTTGTCTCCTGATGGTCGTGTCGCCTTTGTTTGTCTTTCTTCAGCGCACCAGTCGCGCTCTCTCGGGATCCATGGTCGCCGATTCTTTGTTGTTTTATACATACGTTGGGCGCGTTCTATGGAAGTAATTTCAATTGTGTTTTTACCTTTTTTCAAGTGAGTTTTCAATTCGGATGCTTGGGCTTATTGATACATCAGTCGCCAGATAATTGTTGCCTACATTCAGGCATCATCTCTATGTGTAGGCTAAACTACTGCAGGCTGCACGTAAAGAATTCAGCGGCTCGTTCATTGAGGTCATATTTCCTCGCAATCAATGAACAAAGTTCCTCTTTTGCTGTAGAAAACCATACATCGCAAGTGCTTGCTGAACAACTGCAGGGTTCCGTCCTTCCTTGTACTGTTTGGTTTTTCGCTGAGGTCATGCCATTGCGAGGTCTATGAGCAAGAACATTGGCGAAGTGATGGCGTCCGGAGGAGACTTTCACCAGCAGATCTGGTGTGCCGCTTCCTTACACAGGCGGCGCAACACGACGCATAGAAAGCTAGCGACTCACGACCTCGAAACCTGCTCCTGTTGACGAACGCTGACACCTCACGGACATTGTACTTATCTATTATCATTAGGGCCTTGGACAGCTCGCTCAAGATGTCGGTTCGACAATGTACGTAGCATTTATTCAGGTCATTCCACTAGGCTCATTCAAGAAGGCCTCGCAGCAAGAAAAACACGATGGAAGTCCGTTGCAAACAAGGGGTTGCGAAGGAAAGAAATGGAGTTCCAATGAACTCCTTTGAGTATTGCAAAAATCCATGTGAAAATGTCCATTGGGGCGCCATGGAATATCCTATGGCATGGCGTCCCGTGGACTTCGTTTCGGGTTCTATGCACTGAGTACATCATCAGTTCCAGTTGGCGCGAATGAGGGTCTAGGATAAGGTTCATGTCGGTTTGTAAAAATATCAGTACCGAACAGAATACTCTGGTTGTTCTGCTGCCTGCCGTTATGACACGGAGAGCCGCCTCGTAATTCAGCGACAAGGACAAGAAGCTGATCCTCGAGTTGTACCAGAAGGGCAAAGATTCCTTCGAGGACGTCAACGAGGAGGCGAAAATGTAGTGTGAGCGACGAGAGAGACGGCAGGAGGAGAGCACGTGTCTGCAATTATCTGCAATTACAACTACTCGTTTCCGGCCCTTGTGCATACTCTTATGTGCCGTATTCGTTGCTTTGACCTGTGTCATTTTTCGCCGATATTGATCGAGGGTACATTTGACCGCAAAAACCACTTGAGCTTCCTGCAATTCATCTTTTGTTCTCCGGCATTGCTGTGCGCCACGCGCAGCATCCGGAGGATGCTTGCGAAGGAAGTCCTCTTGGATGTGGTGTGCCGCCCAACCCCCCCCGCGCTCGCTTCATGAAGTTCATGTAGTTAAGGTGTGCTCGTCTCGGCTGGGATGGATGGCCAAGCCAAGCGACAGGGTAATAATTGACACCCGTCAAACCACAACCTGTACACCTCGACACGCCATCAATGTTTTTCAGGATGATGTCGAGAAGAGCGGATCTGGAGGGGAAGACGATGCTGGAAGCCAATCTCTTCCGGCGCTTCCTCATCACGGACCGCTTCAGGAGCTTGAGGAGCTTGAGGGAGAAAGTCCAGGCCATGATGGACACTCTCTGCCCCTGCGGGCTGGAATAGAGCGGCGTAGACGTTACGACGCATAGATTGCAAGGCAGGCGAACATTGTGCAGCCAGGGAGGGGGCTGGATTCCTTGCAGAGGTGGGGTAGCTACGGAAGGATTTCCGGATAGGGTTTGGCGATGTCACACTCACACATTCCCTTATCAGGGGTCTGAACAAACTCATGCGGAAGTAGAATGCGTCCGGGAATGCTAGGTTGCTCACGGCCTTAAATGTGATACTGCCTTCGATAGAGAGGCCTTGGCCTCGCGGCCGGCCCCCTGACCCAGGCCGCAGGAGTAGCTCCTGCCGAAATGCCATCGTGAACCGTGAAGAGAACAGGACTTGAGTTTGTTTCTCCAACCTGTGGGTACAGAGAATGTGATGACTGGTCGCTCCTGTCGCGATTTTCGTTGGAAGTCACGTCAGTCCAAGCTGAAACGAAATGTGCATAGCAGTATTTACTGACCTCGTCGAAACTGTGGGATGACCCCGTGCAGCAGTTACGGACCCGTGGCTCGGCCAGGACCGTTGATCATTCCGCAACAACAGTAAGAAACATGATCGAGTCATGACCCTTTCTCATAACTTGGTCATGATCACAATCGCGAGAAACCCAATACAGTCGTGGTCCTGGTTTAGCGACTTCTTCCCTGTTTAGGGGGATGCCCTGAATAGCGGTTCCAAAGGTTTGTGGCACTCCTGCACCCCATATTAGCGGCTTCATAATAAATAGCTACAGCTTCGAAGTGATTTATTGTATGTAGTGAAAAGAGTTGCATCACATTACGGGTTGATGTTTTGCCAGGATACCGTTGGGTTGCGTAAGATACCACATGCATGCCCTGGGCATATTGTCAAACCTCGATTACTCTGCAGTAAAACAAAAGTCGGTGCCGAAAACGACTGCGTTAGAACGTTGGAACTGCTGTCTCGTCGAGGGGTTCCGAAACCATGTCTTTTGAATGCGGCATCCTCTCCGTCATGTACGGGACCAGAAAATGTGTACATGTGTGCATACTAGGTTCTACAGCAAAATAACGGTGACATAAGTTCTACGGCTCGTTTTTGTATTGCTTAGATATATGCTAGGTTGGCACTGGCGTGGGTAGGTGCTTGGAGTACGCCAAAATCGCCGTTAGGTGGTGAAGCGGTCTCCGTGCACATTTTGTGGATCGGCGGGACTGTCCACGACGCACGAATCGGCGGGATTGGGTGCATCCGTTTTTTTTTTTTATTGTGCGTCATGCCTGGTCAGCAGCTGGTTACTTGCTGCTGTTCGCCCGCACATACTTGTGGACAGCTATTGCTGCAGGTCGGATCGCAGCTTGCTCAGACCTGAGGCGAACAAGGCAGAGGCAGTTGCAAGAGAAGGCATATCACACCAACCTTCGCTGGTGACCCACCCTCTTCGATTGATATGGAGAGGTCTAGCAGAAGTGCTGCGAGTAGTTCCTTTGATGATACGGGTGGAGCTGGAACGTCAAGTTCTTGGGAGCAACATTATGGTGATGGGGATCTCGATCTCGACCTGTCAAGCTTGACGCCGAGCTACACACGCACGGACAAGGGTGAGTCAGAGAGAGGGCACAGGGAGGGAGATACACAATAGCGCCATTGTCTTGTGACCTCACCGGTGATATCGCAAAGCACTTGATACACGGGTAATTGCGTTGTTTTTTGTATATGTCCGCTGTTGCTGTGTCCTACACTGAGAAACTGAGAGTCAAGTTTCAACAACACGGTTGTGGCAGGGGTAATCCGCAGAAATCCGTTTGGTATACATACACAGCAAGCAAGCGCGATTGACTATTTTCCCCGAGCATGCCCAGACCTCAACGCCCCTTGCCCATGTCACTCCTCTGTCCTGGCTTCCAACTTCAATCCCTCTCGAGAGTCTTTGCCTTCAGGCTCTAGACATTCTAGACATGCTTGTCGCAGCGTTGTGCATACAATCCTTGAAATTTAGGGAGCAAAAAAACGGATATATATTCCGACGTCAACTCCGAGTGACCAAGAGTTTACTTTCTCAAAAAGAGACGGAGAGACGGACAGAGCGGTAAAGAGCAGTAGAGACCATCAAGAGAGTGATACACACACGTGCTTCAACAAAATGTCGGCCACGTTTGGTTCTATCGGTCACCGCACACGCGTTGTAACCAACGCTGCTGTCTCATAACGCGTTGCATCTCGCTGCCTCTTTTTTGTAGTACCTTCACTATACGCAGGTGCTGATACACAGCAGTCAGTAGTCTAGGAACAACCCTCTGAAAAACATGAGCGAGAAAAGGAGATGGTCATGCATATGCATCACCATTTGTGACCATGGATACCAAGATGACAAATAACTTTCTTCGCGACAAACCCATGAGAATAAAATGCGCCGGAATTTGCACGCCCATTCATGCATGCAGCTTTGGCGCTCTTCAGACTGGGAGTCGGGTGCTGCTTCATCGTGCTCGGAACCTGCGCATTGGCTCGCTTCTACTGGTCGAAGCGGATACTGGATATTCGCACGAGGTATGCAGGCCAGGCCTGTGTCGGAATAGGCGCCCCTAACCCGGACGACTCTGTAGTCTCACTTCTTGAGAAAGTACACTACTTTTTCATGTCCTCCCTGCCTACTCTGCTCTGCCTTGTTGGGTACCTTGATCTCCCTTTTGCCGTTGCTTTTGCTTCTATATAGATGGCTGTCTGCCCATCGGCTGCCTCTTTGTTCTGTTGACCCCATTACTCCCATGCCCGGGTGCGTAGTTCCTGATGCTGGTACGGTACCCTTTGATTTTTTTAGGCGGGTGTGGGAAGCGCTCCTTTTTCCCTTTTATTTTTGCCTATAATATATATATATATATATTTTTTTTTTGATCGGTTTCCTAGGGCTCCTTTTCTCGACTGGTCGGTAGCTGTTGTTTCCTTTCTATCATTTTGTTTTCTTTTTCCGAGTGGTTTGTACTCTGTTCTTGTTTTGTTTCCCCGCGGCGTCGTATGTGCCGGGTTTTGCGACCACGAGCTCCCCATTTTTATGGACTATAGAGCTAATGTGAGAGAAACAAACGAACAAAAAAACTACCCTTTTAGTGTTCTCGTGCATCGAACAAAATAAGAGCAGGCTCATCAAGGCTCATGCATGCGAGAGACACACTTCTCCATATACATACATACATGCCCCGACTTTCCGTGTAGAGTACCATCACCGGGCGTTGCCCCATCGCTCCTTCTACCGCCATAAGGCCCTGCTTCGACGATCGCAAGCGGAGTGCATTGTAGTCTCTCGTTGAGAGCACAGTAGCTCTTGCCCAAACCAACTTGTTGCCCCCCTGTCGGGACCAGAAACTGGAATGGAATTAAATGCGATTTGAATGTAGACTGTTCCAAATTATGGTCATAATTGCACAGGATCACAGGTACCACAAAATGTTTGTGACAAATATGAATGGTTCCCGACTGGACACACAGCGTGGGGGGTCTTGGTTAATATAGAGAAGCCGTTCCCTGCTTGACGAAATCTCGGGTCCTGTAATGGGATAGCAATAGCTGGTGGTGCTGCTGCACCCCTCCGTACAATATAGCGGTTACAGGACCGCAATATATCCTGCCCCCAAATAATGCGGTTGTTACAGCTGTTTTCGGCGAGCAATACGGGTCATCGGTTCAAAGGTTACGGAGGCTCCGCTCGTGCTTACGGGCACGCCGGGTATGTGCAAAGCTCTTGTGCATCTTTCAGAGAGGACTTCTAGAACAGAAGGTTGTGTTTGATATTCTTTTTAGTGCGGTGCGTTTTTTTTGGATCTTTGCCTCGTTTCAGGGACCTTGATTTGACTCGCTCGCACTGACGTATTTTCCCTGATCAGAGCCGGCTAGCGCGGTCGACTCTGTGACTACAGGCCCGATTCAGTTCTGTTTTCATTTTCGTTTTCAGTTCCGATGACTTTCATCACCGAAATATCGCCGGGGTGCCTCGCCACAATAACACACGTATCTAGAGACTAGCAGAGAGACACCAAAAGGCAGCCCACCCTAAAGCGTAATAGCAACGTGGCACACGCATATACCTGTCTTATATCTCTGACGTGGGGCAGATGCCCGTTCGAGAACCAATGAAATCCCTATTGGACTACGCTGTAGGATCCAAACGGAAAGTACCACGGTGGGCACATGAGCACCCTTCAAACATGTGATCAATCCGGTCCCGCGTGCGCGAGAGAGAGCAGAGACAAGCAGGCCAGAGCCGATGGGAGTAAGCGATATTACTGCCTCGGTGCTTGCTGGTGTTGTGAAAAGAGAGCCAGATCAACCCAGTCATGTAGAGGGTTTATCGAAGCTATGTCACACAAACGCACAGCGAAAGGCTGCAAATGAGACAATGCGCGTGGCCCTACTAAGATGAGCCTTTCGAGGCTGCTCTTGTTCGGCAACCTCGACGCTTTTTCGGGGACACCGCCTGCTAGAGAGACTCCCGAGGTATTCAGGGGTTTAGAACCTCCGAGGGACTTCAGCGAAATTGCGCGGAACCTCCAAAACGCGGGATCCCCCACTGCATCGCATACGTACCACAAATAGGTCTGCGTATCTGGTCATGGTCGGGGGCGTGGCCGGTATCCTGACGATGCTCGTTACCGTGAACGATGCCACCACCGTCGTCTGGGACATCGGGTTGGACTGGTTCTGGATATCTCTATTGCTCTTCTTCATCTCGCCCGCGCTGTTCGGGAGCTACATCTGCCGCGCGCTCCGCCTGGCCGTGGTGTTTCACCCAAGGGTGAAGCGTGCCCTGCCGTGGCTCGTCCCGGTACGAGTCTTCAAGTCGTTTGTGGTTTCTTTGTGCGGTGGCTTTTGAGTCTCTTGGTGTGTTTTTCGTACGAGAAAGTGCTGGGTGTTCTTCAAGAGCGTGTTTTTGGCATCTCATCTCTAATGCTTCCCTTCCAATGAGAAAACTGTTACTCTGTGCAAGATAGTCTGCATTCGTCAGGGTCTATTCACTCGGTTAGCGTCGGTAACAGATGCCCTCAACCGTGATA